CACACACATGCACTCACAATCTCTGCTCACAGACTTGTGTTGTGTTCATTCCCTGGCTTAGTCAGCCTCAAACCCTGCTGGGAAAGAGAAGCCAGGCAAGCCCCAACAGAATGCTAATGATGTCATTAACCTCTGGACTCAGGGGGTCACGAAAAAACTGATCCTTTCAAGCAAAGATCATGTCACTCTCTCACTTACTCATTACATATTTACCATTAGTCATGCTCACAGGTGGAACACAAAACCTGGCATATGTGAAAACAATAAAGTAATAAACTAAGGAAGTGCTTTATTGCAGCCAACATAATCAGTGCACTGATGGGCACTGAGTCTCTTCTTTGGAGCCTCAGCTACTTACTGAAATGTGTTTTCCAGATCTGAGAGGATTTTCAAGATGTGTTTCTGCTACACAAGATTCAAACGAGTCAAAAGGAAGCTCACATGTATCTAACATGCAAGGCTTTGCACATTACAGCAATGGTGTAAGGCCAACACAATATGTCAACAGCTAAAATATTACCAGTATCTGAAAAATAAAAGGTCTCAAACTACCATAAAGAAATACTGCCCTCAAAGCAGAGCATGCTCCCTGCTGGTAAACAGGGTTAAATCTGAAGTAAGGTATATCACCAACGTAGCACTGTGTTTCTGTGCATTACATGAAAAGTAGATTTTCTTATCTTGCTTATTTAAATTTATTTTTTTATTATTTTAGATTAGCATTTTTCGTATTCTTATTCTATATATATATTTTGTAATTTTATTGTGCTGCGTATTATTCTACTTTTTGATAATATGTGTTATCTATGGAAGAGGATTAGGGCCACCGGAAAAAACAAAAAAAGAGTGGGCACGTCTTTTTTTCTTCTTTTCCAGAATTCTGAGAAAAAAGTCTGAATTCTAAGAAAAAAACATTTTAAGAAAAAAGTCAGAATTCTGACTTTTCTCTCAGAATTCTAGAAAAGAAGAAAAGAAAGCCTTTTTTTCCCAGTGGCCCTAATCCTCTTCCGTAGTTATATGTTGCGTTTAACTTCATTTCAACTGCTATAACAAATCTATAAAGTATTTGCAACACCCCAAATAAAGATCTCTGTTAAGCTTGTTGATGAAAAACTAGTGCTGTTTAAATGTGCTATAACCTGTAAATAAAATAGACGTTACAGTCAACACAAAAAGGTTCAGAGATTTTTTTTTATAGTGCATGTTTGAGGTGTATTGTTTTACACACTTCAGTATCCTACATAAAGAACTCAGTATCGATCATAGTAGTATGGATAAAATACCAATATCAGCGCTGGTATCGATATTTGAATTGATCTGCCCACCTTTACATAAATAAAGAGCAATGGATAGTGGAGAATTTGTGTATTTCATGCCATAATCTGAGCATAAAATATATTTTATTCCCTTTAATTTGGTGAAAATAGTCTACACGTAGAATTTACTATCATATTAAAACTCTTGTTTAACTAAAAGCTATTAAAGGCTACAATGAGCTCAACTGCCATACTATGGAGTATTTTCTGAGGCATAACAGCTACTTTGCAACCATTAAGCGTATGTGGAAAATGTGTGAGATCATTTTTATAAGCTCTTCTGCCCTTCTCCAAAATGAATGCCAAAAAACTACCAGAGGATCGCAGATGAAGCCGATGGGCAGGTGTTTATGTGACACACATGGAAGCGTGACAGTGTTCTGACATGCTTGATCTATAAAAACATCTCCGGGTAAAATCTTTATTTAAGTGTGGGAAAGTGGCATTTTCTATTTTTTATTTATTTTTTTGGACTGTAACCAAAAAAGAATAGGCTTCCGAGCGTGCGTGTGCACCTCTGCAGATTGGCACCATCTGATGAATATGATAGGTTTTCACATGCTGACTTGGATCTATATCAGCACCTACACCAAACAGTGCACCTACGCATAGATTAACCTTCAGGACAGATTCAGGGCATTTTGGCACTCTGATTTTAGCTGGTAGCTGTCCTGCAGTCCCACTGAGTCCTATCTCTACTGTCTCAGGATATTTATAGAATAATAGCGGTCAGAGGAATAGCTGGGGAAGGGGATTCTTCTGAAATGGTTACCCAGAACAGCTGGCCGGATATCACACACACTGGGTTATGCACAGGCTCATGCAGACACTGACATACAGAGAAGCAATATTTACACTCCTGGAGTTACACATAAAATAGTAAAAATAGGAAAATGTTACACAAACACACAAGCTCACAGTATGTGAGCACACACACACAGACACAAAGGAACACAGCAGGAGGAAGAGGAAGTGCTTGCCAAGGAGGTGGGAGATGAGTGGGCACTAAGTAAACAACACTTAGTGCAGGAAGTCCCTATAGGAAGTTTTACTCAGAGGAAGGAAGTGTGTTTGGTGTGTGTGTGAGTGCACGGGAAAATATGCGGAGGAGGTGTGGATGTAACACTGTGGGTCCAGCTGACTTTAAAACCACAACACAGTAGAGTAGATTCATTTTCTATACGCTAGCATGTATCCATATCAGAAGAGCCATATGTCCTTTGCAGGGTGAAAGCAAGTCAAGGGAAACATCTGGTTTCTTTCAGCTCCACTAACTTCACCCAGGTTATATAAATTTAAGCCACTTTGTTAATAAAAGATTTAAATTGTAGTCATTTTCAAATGCGTATCCATATGTGAGGCATTAAATGTGCCGCCGCTTTGAAAGGCTCAATTATATCATGGGCAAGGGCAGAGATAAGCCAAGGTAAGACTGAATACAGCAAGGTGAAAAAGTCTATTATGGAGGAGCCACCTCAATATAGTTTTTATTTCACCTTTCTCCCTTCCTGTCTCGGAGCATGTCGGGCAGTAGAGTTACATCATTTTTTCATTCACTTTTTATTTAAGGCTCTTTAGAAATATATCAAAAGGCAGAGACTTTACCATGGGTCAAACAAAAAGACTATAACATGTTTTTAAAGTAGAAACTACCAAGTGATGACTCAGCTGTCGCTTTTAATTTTCCAAACTTAAAGAACTTATAAGCTATCCAAACATACTCTTCATACTTTTTATCTGGTAGTTAATGATTCTAAACGCAACCCTACATATTAATGGATATTTTTACAACACCCATTAATATGTATATATTATTATATTTGAACTTGTGTCCATCCATTCTCTTTCGTTTATCCTTATCAGGGTCGGCGGGAGCTGGAGCCTGTCAAGCTACCATAGGGCGAGAGGTGGGCTACACTCTAGACATGTCGCCAACCTGACGTAGGGTCAATATTTTTAAACTTTAGTAAGTTTATTGTTGTGTGGTCAAATAATTATTTCTAATTGCTTTGCCTGTATTAACAGTGTAACACCATCCATTAGCCTACTTTAGCCTATTTAGCTTTAACTTAAATAGGCTAAAGTAAATAAGCTAGCTAATTTTATAAGATAGATAACTCTTTATTGTCATTGCACAGTCATACATAGTACAGTAGTACAATGAAATTGGAAAAACTGTCCTACGTCGGCACTACATATAACACAACACGACACGATATGACACATCACAACGTAACAAACAACACAACACAGTATATTAACTTAGTATAAAAAATCTGATCATTATCTGATCATTTTGCTTTTACTTACTGTTTTAGTGTATTCTGTGTTTTTCAACTATTGATTGAAGGGGTCTTTTAACCGGTTAAGCTAACTATTTCAGTAGTATACCATATAGCTAAAAGCTAAAAACTGTAAGCTAGCTATTTCAGTAGTATACCATATAGCTAAAAGCTGAAAACTGTAAGCTAGCTATTTCAATCGCTACATTTAGGTATTTTTACAACATCAACTGAAAAGCAGATATAAGTGCAGTTGAATGTAATTATCCCTTGATTAAATTAACAAATCAACGTTTACAGTGATTAACCATTTACCTAATACTTTTTAAGCAAGCCATTTTTTGTAAGCCGAGTCCTTTTACTGTTTAGAATTAACCATTTAGAGCTTTATTTATTTATTTATAATACATTTTAGCTACAAGTTTAACCCTTTTAGCTTTTTTCTTGCCACAGTGACTAGTTTAAGTGATATTTTGGGCTGTAAAGGTGTGTATTCTGTGTAAGAGAAGTTACACAAAAAGTGTGTTTTTGAAGTTAATTTTCACCTTAAAGATAGTTTTTGATGTCTGTGAAGGTTCTCAGTCAGTGACTTTGATGCTTACATTTTTTTTTACCTCTTCTTTTTAATTTAGCTAAGCTTTTCTACAGCATCCATGCAATCCCTGGTAACTCTACACTGCTGTAGTATGTGTGTATTTCTTATTGTCAGGCAGCATCACTCTCCATGCTTCCTCTCCACTCCTCCTCTCTCCTCTCCATCTTCCACTGAAGTGAGATATTGTATTTCAGGCAGGCCATTTCTCACTGTCAGTAATGCACATCAAATCCCACAAGTAGGAGGGCTAAGAGGTTTGATCGTCTATAATGCCTTTACCTACACTAAAGGCTTAAGAGAGGAAATCACATTCAAAGTTGCTGCACACCACACATCTGGGTCTCTGCTGGCTTTCAGCTGCGGGTGGAAATCTTGTGGTTCGTACGGCCTCAAATAGAATCCAGAGCCTCCTAATCCATCTTGAGCTCATTTACACACAAGTGGCGAGTTTTGACTAATATTTTCCTTGATATTTTGCCACAACAGAATAAGAAATAGCTTAAAGAGGTCCAGTCTGGGTCTGGTCGGGGGTTATTTTGAGATTCTGACTGCATGTGTGTCTCAGGACCAACTGTGGTATGATTGGGTGGTAATTTTGGTACGGTGATTTCTTTTCCGTGGTGTAAAAGCTGAAGAATGTGCTGCGGTGACATGAGCGGTAGTTTCCGACTCTTCTGCATCCTCCTGCTCGAGCGTATCCTCGGATGACCTCGTATGCCTGCTGAAGACATATCTGCACTCAGTGGAAACTTTTCAAAATTAATTCATTGTTTTTAAATCTTAGAGCATTCTGTTCAAGAAAAAACAACTACAGCATTTATTTACAACACTAAACACACAAATACGCTTAGATGTACTCTAGACAGAGGCTATAATAGCAATCTTGCCTTACACTGTTACAAACAGCTCGTCTGACCTTCTGACTGAATGCTGCTTTGGGGAAAAATAACACACAACATTTTCTTACTTCCTTCCAACTAGCAGACGCTCGTGTCTTCCACGCAGCGCTGCCAGCTGTACAGTTTCTCCTTCACGCCTCCTGAGCTCCTTTCCCATCTTCAAAGCCCCCGTCATGACACCCGAGCCCAGCTGGAGCGCACTAGATGGCACTGTTTACAACAGCACGGAGCAGCAGAGCAAACACACCGTCTCCCAATCCTTTCACTAATCTAATAAATTAGATTGCGCATTATACAGTTTGTAATTACACAACCACAATAAACACAGTTAACAATGCACATCAGCTCCGATTTCCACAGCTGTTAGAGCATTAGATTGGCAAAGATATGAAACAAGATATCAGATATGGCAATCAATGTGAAACAAGGGGATGATAAGATCAGTCACTATTTTTTTTCCTCTTTAATGGCTCATAATGTCATTAAATCTGACTGCCATTATTTGCAAATACATTTAGCTGGTCCACAGGGGCCGTTTAATGAAAAGTGCAGTCTTATCACGCGATGCTGATAGCATTTGTATAAGCTGGATATTACACAGCTTTGGTGCATCTACCTGCTTTACCGTTCCACGCTGCCTCTCTCTCGGTTTATCGTGTCCTCACTTTTCCCGCGCTTGTTTGTCTGCAACTTTCTGTCTGTCTGTTTATCTGCCTCCTCATATTCCTGGATCTCTTTTGTGTCTAGGCTTGTGGGCAGGTTTCTGACAGGGGTTGCTCTGGTTGAGCCTTCCTCAGGCATCAAAAGGCAAAGAGAGAGACAGGCTCTGTCACATTATGCGGGCCCTCCTCTCCTGGCTTTGATTGAGAGTAGTGATCCAAAACTGATGCGGAGAGGAGCCGGCGCTCACCTCTTGTCAACGGTGGATGTTCTCCACAGGCAGACAGGCGAGCGGCAATGACAACGTTGGATACGCTCCGTGGGCTCTGACAACCCCCTTCACACTTTGACACACTTGGTGATATCTCACTCACTGCCATTGTCTTAAAGAGATATCGGGGAGACACGTGCTAAATTTCGGCTGCATATAGATTCTTTACTTTCACTCTGGGACTGGATCTAAAAAAAACAACCCTTTTTAAAAAAAAATCAAATAATGTTTCTTCGTAGTATAAAAACTCTCATGTGCAGCTTTTTTCCTTGTGGGATAAAAAGCAATCACAACTTCAATATCCTCTAATATCCATCTGTGCGTAGTTACATAACTATTTATTTGATTCCGCTGCTGACATCTGTGGCATTTTATCAGTAAAATGAGTCAGAATCTAATCAAGGCCATCTCTGTGTGATGCAGAAAGGGGCTTACTTTTATTCCACTCTGTAGAAATTTCACTTTACAAGGGAGTTCACCAAATGTCAAATAAAAGTCGGGGCATGTGTAACTACGGTTCTCCAATTAAACGCGTTCTGTTGCTCAATTCTGTGGGTTGAAAGAGAAGTGTGCAATCTCCGCGGCCAAGGTTGAAAAGTGGAAATAGCAGAAATTGTTGTAACGAGATTTTTGTGACTTCAAAAGGCTCAAATTTTTGGTGACTTCTCAGAGCCTCGGGACAGGCACACGCGCACACACAGACACACATAGACTGGTGTTTTACCCTAACGTGACGGCTTTCATTTCTTTTTTTTGACATCACATTTAAGTGACCCCCCTCCCCCCTCCATGCCCACCCCAAGCCAATACAATTTGCGTGTGTTTATCTTGCAGAGACCCATTTTATAGCTACTCCACCACGCACCATGAACCCCAGCACCACATATTCATAAAGCAGCCATCTGCGTGAAGTGTGCATTATTTAAGGAGGCATTGTCAGGCAATGTGGCTGCAAGGTGTCATTACCATGTGTCAGATGCCCCCATCGCGCTGCCACGGCAGGCTGATGGTTAAAGGAGTGGACTCTGTGAGATGTCCCCGCATAGCTGCCTTCAGATCTCAAGCAAAGTCGGAGCTTGAGACTTTTCCAGCACCAAAGTTGACATTTCATATTAAAAGATCCTCGTTTTAACAAAAGTTTTCTCTGCAGCTTCTGTCTTGCAGTCCTTGTGGTTTCTCCATCTGTGGCCCCTGCATGGCTGTACTGCAAGTGCTTTTGTCTGCACTTTTCTTTCTGATGATTCTTAACTATAGCACATGTTGAGATCATTAATTTCAAACCCTGCCAAAACCACTTCCCACACATGCATGGCATTCATTCCTCCCGTCTCTCTCTCTCTCTCCCTTTCCCCTTCTCCCGCGTACACGCTCTAGCTTCACAGCGACACAGAGAGCAGCAGTAATCCTGTTCCCTTTTCAGTGAATCAAAATCACCATGTGGCTTTGTTACACTAGACGCGCAAGCTAAAGCTGGGAGCCGGATTCCTATTGCCTTATACCATAAAAAAAGAAGAAGAAGAAGGAAAAAAATGTGTTGCTCGCACAGGTTTGTGAACAGAAAAGAAAGAAAAGAGAAGAAGAAGGGGTGAGGATTTATGCAGGCAGCACTGGCAGAATTCCCTCACACCTCCCTTGTTTCGCCTAACATCGCAAACCTGCACCGTTTCAAAGCAGTGGCAGATATGAAATATTCAGCAGTGGTATTACTATTACAACACGCGGTGGAGGGGAGAAAAAAACTGTGCATGCTCTCCCTGCACACTTTTAATTTTGAACACTTGATGATTATTGGTTCAAATAGGACTCGCACTCCACAGCAGGAGCGGCTGCCTGTGGTACCGAGGCTGCATTTTTAACGAGTTACCCCCCCTTAAAAAAAAAAAAAAGAAATCTCATGAGTGGGGGGCAGAATGAAAGAGAAAAATAAGGAGAGAGAACGAGACACTGAGAGGGAAAGTAAGAGCAATCGGCTGGAGAATGTGTGTATGGTGTGTGTGTGTGTGTGTGTGTGTGTGTGTGTGTGTGTGTTGTGTGTGGTTCTGTGTCGTGTGTGTGTGTGTTGTGTGTGTGTGTGTGTGTGTGTGTGTGTGTGTGTGTGTGTGTGTGTGTGTGTGTGTGTGTGTTGCAGACAGCTCTCTGGCATTGCAAATGCTCGCTGGTCCTGAGCAGAGCTGAGCTGGAAGCCTGCTCAAAGCCCTTCACCTTCACAGCCGGGCTGGCACGACGCATTGAGCATGGCTGGCATAGCCCGATGTTTATCACACAAAGGCACGATCAAAGAGCGCTGGTATCTGGCTGCACCACTTTCATCTGGGTTCCCACAGCTGACAGTAGCATCCGTGGGGGGCTCTCCTCTTCTTCTCCTCCTTTAATGGTCTCTCTCTCTCTTTCCCCTACCTCGCTATTCTCTCTCCCTTGCTCTCTTACACATTTATCACTGCAGAGAGGGAAACTTTATTGAAATTCCATAGCCAAAGAAAATTCTCTCCTGATCAATGATGGCTTTAGAGAGGAAGCCTGGGAGACGGGTGTTCCTTAGCTCTTTGCTCACAAACTTTCCCTTCAATGTTTTTTTTTTGTCCCGTTCTCTGTAAGCCAATAAGCTTGCATTGTTCACATTCACTCATTGTTTTCTGCCAAACCATCAGAAAAGCAAACTGTATCTTCAAAGACGTTCCCATGACACGCACGGTGCTGCTTCACCACATGGTGAATGAATTTCATGGGGAGTTGCGGTGGTGGTGGGTGGTGTTTGGGGGCTTGCACATGATGCTTGACAGTTCCAGCAAGAAGTTTGACAACTGGTATTCACTCTCTGTGCAGTTAAGGCAATAACAGAAAAAAGGAGTGGAGATTTGAGCTTGGCTTCACATTCAGGAGGTTAGCTGTGGTCGGCATGTTGTGCTTATCATTCTCTAACCGTAACACTTGGCTTTATGAATCAGACATGCTCCTGGAAGAACAGCTCTTTCCAATATCTGATCCAGACGTTAGGTATTCCCTGCATATCTCGCTTCCTCCACAGGAAAAACATTAGAAAGCCCAAACAAATGGTTTCAGCGGTCACGTCAAACTGCCTCGACCGCCATGAAAAACGGTTACTCTTCATCGGACGCCGGCAACCCCTGCGCGACTGTCAGGAAATGCATCTGGTGTTCCTTTTTTTTTTCTTCCCCAGAGTATGTGTGTAATGTGTGGCTCCTGTTGTTGCGATCAATCCCAATTTAACAGACACCGACTGAAAGTCAACCTTCGGGGAGCCATGAAAGCTGACAGGTGAGAACTCACTGCCGTCTCCCCGACTCACATCAAAGACACGGCAACAGTGGCGGCTTCAGTGGAAGACGAGCACTTTTAGAAAGAACAAAGAGACTTGGAGAGAGGAGAGCAGGACTCGTCTACTAGACGAGAGATGGCCGAGAGGCTGAATAGCAAAGGGGCATGAATACTAAAAGAGGATTCGTTTGACCTCATGCAGATTTTGGAGAATTCAGACTGAGTCTAACACATATTCAATATATCGTTGGCTGTATAAGAATAATTTGTTTGACAACGAATTTGGATTCAAGTGGATTTTTTTTTCCACCCCATTTTGCTCCAACTCTTTGTAACAACTAAAAACATGTTAGATCTGCACTCCTGCTATTCTTGTGCAGTCTGGGAACTGAGCCAGTCCAAGTGATACTATAATCACGTGTGGTTTTAATTGCCAGGTCTTAGGGAGTGGTAAGGCATATGTGAAAAAAAAAAGATCCCCGCATAAGAAAATCGAGTCTTTAACCTTGTTAAGGTGCCCGTATGGTGTTTTCTATGAGCTCAAAAGACTAAACAAAGCAGTCATTGTCATGACGTTTTCACCTTGGAACTGCAGTGTTTACCAATCTCAGGCAGAAACACAGATTCGGACCGTAAGGAGACAACCTGTCAGCATGTGGGATTTGGTTAACAAGTCAGAGGTGGTGTTGCAACAGCAGTCTGGCGAGGAAGGAGCGGCTAGCTGGTCCAGCGGGCATGTGGTGTGGAGGTTAGCTGAATAACTCGAAGCCAGTCAGTTAAATCGAACAATAGACCTTTATTGGTTGTTAGCAACATAAGACCATACAAGCCAGGTCTCCACGGCTCTACTCCGTCCATACATACATGTGCGGGGATGGGTAGGCGTCGGTGCCAGCCCGTTACAATGGTGAGGTCTCTCTCGGAACAGACGCACAGGCAGAGCAGCATGTAACTGCTGCCACACTATATTCACACACACTAGGAGACTCCCCCCAACTACTACACTAGTAGGGCAACACCCCCTAGCGGTGCTAAAACACAATAAGGGTTGTTACAGCGTGCAACAAAGTCCATTTCTACTGCTTTTGCTGCTCTGCTCTCTGTTTCACCTTGTGTGTACAGTATTTGGCTGCTCTGCTCTGTGTGTGTCATGAGAACAGCACAGACTAGACACTTTGATTTTCACTTGCTGGTTAGATGTAAGCATTAAAAGGTTCAGGTAAAGACTACTGTTGGACTTGTACATGCCACAGCATTAAGCCTGGATCTTGAACAATTACACTTACACAGTACATTTGAATGTGATCCCAAACACCCATATGTGATGAGTTGGGAGCATCACGCACACTCAATGACAAGGATTCTTCACTCTCATCAACATGAAGCAAGAAGTAAAACGCAAGAAATGAAATCAGGTTTATTTATCCAAATAATTAATCACAAAGGAAAATATGCTGAATGTATGTCGAGTGCCGTTGTACATCCATTCCATCCATTCTCTTCCACTTTTCCTGAAGACTATCCCAGCTGTCTTGTAGTTTGGCAGGGTACACCCCGGGCAGGTCACCAGTCTGTTGCAGGGCTAACACATAGACACAGACAACCATTCTAACCTAACCCTAACTGCATGTCGTTGGACTGTGAGAGGAAGCCAGAGCACCTGGAGAGAACCCACACAAACATTGGAAAACATGCAAACTCCACACAGAAAGACCCCGGCCTAATAATGAATTGAACTCAGGACCTTCTTCTGTGAGGCAACAGTGCTAACCACCATGTTTTTTTAGCACATGCATTAACGTAACCACATCACAGTACCAACTCCAAAGGTCACATTGCGTGCATGCATGAGACTGCAGTGTTTGACACCGTGGTAATAACTGTGACAACCGCAATCAGATTTCCTTTGACAAGCAGCTTTTCACCACAACACACAAACAGTGTGGAAGGAAAATAGTTTAAATGATCTATCTGTGGATGCACTTTTGAGTGGCAACTGCAGTGAGCCATACCCTGCAAATTTAATGTGATCATCCACACAGTAATGAACATCACTCTGTAGTTTGCCATTTGACAACTTTAAATTACAATGAAATAAAATGAGATGTGGAGGAAACATGAGAGTAAGTCTCCGTTAAGGAGAAAATCTGTGATTTCTTTTTAGGGTTAGTGTGGAAAATATCAGCTGTAACAAAAACAGGATTTGATTTCATTAAAAACACTGACTATCTTAACTATATAATCAAGGTATTAAAACATGATTATTAGGTAGCGTGGAAACAAAAGAGGAGAATTCCAAAAAAATGAACTGGGTCACTTACTGTACAGCTCTCAGCAGCAGTCTTAACCGAACAGTTATTTTCCCCCCCCTTCAATAAAACCTCTGGAAAGCTTTGCAATCACAACCCCATTGCACTCACTTTTTATTGTCTACCAGCTGTTGGAAAACTTTACACTCTGAAGGAGAAGAAAGAAATGGAGAAGTCCT